TTAAAAAACTTTTTTTTTTTTTTAACTAAATGAAGTTCCCCATCTCATGGAAATCAAGTTTGACTCAGACGGAGGCTGTTATAAAGATTTACTAAGCTCCAGAATGATAATAATTTCCAAGTCTCCTTCCATTAATTTCCTCTGCTTCAAGCGCAATTCCACAGCTTCTTACATCCACGTGACGGGAGCTAATGGAGGAAAACTTATCATGAGAAATAGTTTGTAGCTGCCACATTAGCCCTTTCTCCTAGGAAGATTCTGATCATGTCTTGTCCAGTAGCCATACCTCCTAGACTATGATATTATAGTATTTCATGCCAAATCTCAAGAAGCTCAAATTGATGTGCGGATGGGGAAGTTTGCATTCCTTACCCTTTCCACTTGGAGCTTGTTTTCTGGAAGCAGGGAAAGATAATGATTGAACATACAATGCAATATACAGATAACATATGATTGAATTGTACACTTGAAACCTATAATTATATTAACCTCAATAAATTAAAAAAAAAAAAAAAAAGAGTTGGATCTGAAGCCAGACTGCTTCAGTTCAAATTCCAGGTCCACCACACCAACCATATAATTTGGGACTAATTAGTTACTCAACCTGTGCCTTAGATTTTCATTCATAAAAAGAGGTAATAATACTTAACTGAGGATGAGATAAAGTTAATGTGATGTTGCCTGGCACACAGAAATTGCTCATTAAATATTAGCTGCTATTATTATTATTATTATTATTATTATTATTATTATTATTATTGAAAAGGAGATTATAAACTCACACATATATCCATATTTTATTACAAATATCCCAATTTAATTAGCTGGAACTAACAGAAGAGGGAGAAGATTTTCCTGAGATAGTAGATCTCAAACTTTATATCAGATCCCTCTAGGATTACTAAAATTATAACTTACCAGTAAGCACAGGCGGCTGTGAAGAATAGCGAAAGCGTCTAATCAAGGTTTGGGAGTAGGAGATGGTGGGATAGGAAGGCTTCCTGGTGGGATGATACCTGGAACCGAGTCATAACACAGGAATAAGGATTGGACATGCAACAGAGTATGTGTAGGCAGCAGGGATACAGCTATTTTGACTAGTGTTTTGAACATTTTTGTGCATGTCTTTTCTAGAACATATGTATGTATATATAAATATGTGGGGATTAGTTTAGGAAGAGAATTTCTGGCTAATATGGTATGCATATGTTCACTTTTAGGAGATACCACCAAACATTTTCCAGAGGGAATGTACAAATTTACTCTTCCATCAGCAGTATAAGGAAGTTCTGGTTACTCTAACCAACAACAGGTGGTTTTTTTTTTTCATGTAATTCTTCTGGTGGGTGTGTAATGAGGTTACATTGAGGTCTTAGTTTGCAATTCCAGGATGACTAATGATGTCGATCACCGTTTCACTTGATTAATGGCTATTTATGTAGTCTTACTATTGAGTACCCTTTTGTTGTTAATGCATAGGAGTTCTTTATTATGGATACAAATCTTTTAAATTCGTCATTTTATTGTAATATGTTTCATCTTTTTTCTCTATGATTTGTGCTTTTCGTGTCTGGTTTCAGAAATCTCAGCGCACTGCAAGGTGATGTAGATATTTTTCTGTGTTTAGGTCTAAAATGTATTGTTTTACCTTTAGCATTTAAGTCTACAATACATCTGAAATTGCTTTTTGTGTACCATGTGAGGTAGGATTCAAAGTTTTTTTCTGTGTGAGTGTCCATATAATCCAGCAGAATTTATTAAAAAGACTATCCTTTCCTCTTTGCATTACAGAATCAACTTTGTCATAAATCTGGTGATTGTACATTCATGGATCGGTTCTGGACTTTATTCTGCTTGATCGATCTATTTGTTTGTTTTTCTGCCACTTTCATGCTCACTACATATTATGGCTTTATAGTAAGTCTTAGTTTCTGGTAAGCTTTGTATTTTTTCTTCAAGATTCTTCCAGTTTTCCATATAACGTTTATAACCAGGTCGTCAATTTGTGTAGGAAAGAAAAGACTATTGGGGTTTTGACTGGGATTGCTTTGAATCTTAAATCAAATTTCCATCTTTATAATGTTGACTTGTCCAACCTATGAACATGGCATATTCTGCTATTTACTTAGGTCTTTCTAATTTCTCTAAATCATGTTTTCCTGCACATATTTCATTAGATCTATTACTACATATTTGGTTTTTAAAAATCTTCTTACAAATTATTTTCTGGTTGCTAGTATAGATAAATCCATTGGATTTTTGTATGTTTGCATATTAACTTCAGTTTGTCTTTGGGTACTTTTAGATTGTCTATCTATGCAATTATGTGGTCTGCAGAAAATGACAGTTCTTTCTCCCTTTCCAATCCTTTAGTCTTTTATTTCTTTTTCTTGACTTATTTCACTAGCTAGGACCACCAGTACAATAGTTATTGGAAATGGTTATGGTGAACATTTTTGTTGCACTTCTAATGCTGGGGAGTAAGTTATCAATACTTCACCATTCAGTATGACATTTGCTGTGGGTTACTTCTTTTATTGGAGATAATATTTATCACATTAAGAAGGAACCCTTCTATTCCTAGTTTGTGAAGGGATTTATTTCTAATCTTAATTGATTGTTGACATTTACCAAATGCTTTTTCTGTATCTATTGATTATATACTTTTTTCTCTCTACTTCTATTAACAAGATTAATTACCTTGTTAGCTTCTCAAATGCCAAATCAAACTTGAATTCTTGTAGTAAACACAGATCTATTGTTGATATATTTTCCTTTTAATGTCGCTGAATTTAATTGGCTAATATCCTGTTCAGGAGTTTTGCCACAATGCTCGTGAGAGGGGTTTGTTTCTAAGTTTTCCTTCTTGTAATGTCTTTGTTATTTTTTGATATTTAGTTCATGCTGCTCTCATAAAATGATTTGAGGGAAATTTAACTCTTTTTCTATGCCTTGAAAGAGTTTGTTATGATTGGTATTATTCCTCTCTTAAATGTTGAAAGAATCTACCAGTAAAGCTATCTAGGCCTGGAATTTTCTTTCTAGGAAAGTTTTAAATAATAGATTCAATTTCTTTTTGAAAGACAGTGGACTCTTTTGACTTTTGTTTCTTCTTGTGTCAGATTTGCTAATTTGTGTTTTTTTTTTTTTTGAGACATTTGTCCATTTCATTAATTGTCAACTGAGTTGGTATGAAAGTGTTTGTATTTTTAAAATTTTCTTTTAAACGACTATAGGATCTGTAGTAATGTTCTTCTTTCATTCCTGATGTTGGTAATTTGTGTTTTATTTCTTTTTCTTTATCCATCTTTCTAAGGACTTATATATTAATTATTTGAAAGAATGAATTCTTGGCTTTGTTGATTTTTCTCCATTGTAAGTTGGATTATCATTTACTTGTTTTCTGCTCTTTACTATTTCATTCCTACAGCTTTTTTTTGGATCTGATTTGTAGCTTCTTGAGATGGAAGGTTAGCTAATTAATTTTTATCCTATCTTCTATTCTAATATACACATTTAAATCATGAAGAAAGGAAATAAATTCCCCAATAAGCACTGATAATGTTTTATTTTCATCACAATTTAGTTCACTATATACTAATTTCCATTTGATTTTTTGTTGTCCAGTACATTATTTAGCAGTATATGTTAATTTCAAAGGAGTTGGGCACTTCCCCAGTACATATATTTTGAAATTGATTTCAAGTCAGTTTTATAGTATTCAGATAATATATTCTAAATTATTTTCAACTTTAGTTTTTTTTGAGCTTACATGTATGATGCAGCACTCAATTTTGAAAAATGTTTTATGAGGCTACATGTTTCCTTTGTTTAGTATTTGTGTAGTATATTTTCTTCCATTCTTTCTTCCTAGTGTGTCTATGTCCGTAATTAAGATATGTTTCTTTTCTCCTCCAAGCTTTACTGCAGACATACTGGTATAACATTGTATAAGTTGAAGATGATATCTTTATATGTTGCAAAATGATTTAGGTATGTTTTATGTATAAAATATGTGGGGTTTTCTTTTTAAAGCAGTTTGAAAATATGGCATTTATTAAAATATTTAGCCATTTGCATTTAAAGTAATTATCTACATACTAAAGTTCATATTTACCATCTTTCCACTCATTTTCTATTTGACCTACCTGTTTTCTGTTTGAAGTAACTTCATGCTGCTATCATGGTGCCTGGCTAGCACCCTCTATTGCCAAAGCCTCACATTGTCAATTGACAAAGGAGTAATGTTCATAGGATGAGGAGAGAGGCTTGCAGCACATCCAGACACGTGGTCTCTAAGGCAGATGGGAACTTCATCTCTAAAGGTTTGGGGACTAGAACAGATCTGGTGTAAATTGATGGTTGCTAGATACTTGAGTGACCAGTTTGTCCACTGAGCGGTGTGGAATAAGACTGGGGAGATTGCATATGATTAGTTTAATATTATTGTTTTAAGGCATTGTGTTCGATGCTTCATATACATTGCCTCTATTCCTTATGAAAACTATGAGAGATGAGTATTATTAGCCACATTTTACAGATGAGGAGACTGAGGCTCAGAGAGGTTAAGTAACTTGTTCAAGACAGCAAATGAGTAGTGGGGTCAGAATTAAAGTCCTAGCCTATCTGCCTCCAGGGCCGACATTCTTGCTAGACTACTATACTTATCATGGTACTTAAATGAGAATGATTCTCTTACAGGCCCCACCATGTGGATGCCTCCAAGGCAGAACCAAAGCTGGGCTTCTGAA